TGGTGTGGTTGGAATTGTGAAGTCCCTTGGTGTTTGTTCATTGGTGGGTTTAAAGCAGGATTGTGCCTTGAAAATTTTGGGTGTTGTCTCCACCCAGGATTGTATGTTTGAGAAAATGGTCCTGATCTATTTTGATTCCCCACAGAGTTGACTGATTCAGAGTTAGATGGATAATATTCAAAGGGATGTCCTCCACCACAATACACACATTGTACCAACTCAACAGTTGGAGCATGCGCGGTGGCTATAGATTATGTTGTTTGACCATTTGTTAAATTTTTTATCATGTTGGTCATTGCAGTCATCTGTGCCGTCAATGCTATAAAAGCATCTATGTCATGTACGCCTGTTATTTTGCATGGTACTAGTGCATGTGGATCTGCCCAATGTCCATTATTATTATAAATCTTTTCAAGGATATCATATCCATCATTATTGGTACTAGCTGTGAAAGCTCCTCCTGATGTAGCATCGAGCATTTGTTTTGCAGTGAGATTCAACCCATTGTAAAATGTCTCGAGCTATATACAGTATGGATGCCATAGTGAGGGCATTTTCTTAATAGCTCCTTGTACCATTCCCAAGCATCGGGAACTGTCTCATCGTCCATTTGTTTAAAAAGATAAATTTCGTTTCTGGACTTAGCGTTTCGAGTGGGAGGAAAATATTTTTTTAAAAACTTTTCTACCATGCTATTCCAAGAATCCACTGATCCTGGTCATAAGGAATTGAACCAAGACTTTTCCCTATCCCTTAAAGAAAAAAGAAACAATGTGAGTCTTAGAGCATCATTAGATACTCCTGGGATAAGAAAAGTGTCAACTATTTCCATGAGTGATTTTAAGTGTGAGTGTGGATCTTAAGATGGAAAACCACTGAAATGAGCGTTGATTTGCWACATATTAAACATCACTAGTTTTAACTCAAATTGGAGGGCTTCCATTTCTGGTCTAATTATCCTTGAGTTTAATTGATCAAAAACAAGAATGGCATCATCCATAATTCCTCCATCTTTTGCGTTTGCCAATCTKATTATTTTTTCAGCGTCATTCAGTGGTGGGGGAGGTGTTAGAAGTGGATTTTCAGCCATATTGGAAGAGGTTAGAGTAGATAATAATACTCTTTGCACTCTTCATCTTTGTCTGAAAGTTCTCTCAATATCCGGATCCAATTCAAAAATCTCCCCGTGTGGTAGCCTTGGCATACACCACACCTAAAGTCAAGTGACAAGATGGTAGAAAAATCAAATCTTTAGATTTACTAAAAAAAAACTTTTGCCTAATCCTTGGCAGCGGCGTCAAAAACTTGTTACGTGAATTATATAAAATACATCTCTCGGACTGTTAGCAAATGGAGACTAGTGCAAGTATACACTTATCAATCCACTATCGTCTTTTACAAGTAATAAAGTGGTAAAAATACCTAATATCGCCCACGGAGAAAAGGAATAAAAGTTCGTTTTAATAGTATGAATAGATATATGATTTCAGATGGTGAATTCGAAGAAATAATTGTGGCGAGTTGGTTAAACACTACTGTTGTGAACAAGTAATAAAAGAGAGCTTAGGGTGTAGAGATTTGTTAAGATATTAAACCAATTTTTAAGTAGACAACATGCTACAGCATGCTTTATAAATAACTTATCTTTACAACTAATAGCTTTTATTAAGGTACTCTCTCGAGATGTAGAATGGCACACAGTCATAGATCAAGCCATCATATCTCTATGCAAGGCTGGAGTCTCGACATTGGCTCAAACTATTCCTTTTATAAGCTAAATGGAGTGAAAACGAGTCTCCTCAATTCTGAGTAGCTCTCTCGAGCGTACTTCCATATCATTCAAGTTGACGTGTGCTTGTTGGTTTATCTCAAAATCCAACACACTTTAACACTTTGAAACAAGTGATCAACTTGTCCATGGATGATGTKTTTGCAATAAAAACTTGAATGACGTAGTTGTAATGATTTATTATTTATATTTTTACAAYGGAATCGGTGTTTCTCTTAACATCACCCAACACCCAAGCTATATTTTTAGCCTACCATACTTGAAAAATTAAATGCATAAATAATAAAGCGTAAGGAAGGAAAGAGAGTAGAGGAAATAAATTCTAAGAAGAATTATAAAAGAGACTAAAGATACTTGAAATAGAAAAACTAATTGCATAAATAATAAAGCATAATAAGTAGAGCATAAGAGAATAAAAGATAAAAGAAGGAATAAATGTAAAGAGGAATTATAAAGAAGACTTAAATGTAAAGATAAAATAAAATACTTCTAAAGTTACATGCAAAAGTTTCTTAAAAAACTTGCTTCTCCCAAATTACTTGCTAGAGTTCTTACTTTCCAAAATGACTTTCTTACAAGACTTGCTTCTACAATGCCAAACCTCCTCCCTTTATATAGTAGGAGAAGAGAGGACAAGGACCAAAAGATAAAGCTTTTACCCTATTTTTTACATTGTCCATTGGGTAAAGCAATGCTACCTAAATATTAGTCAAAAATMAAATCTTAAATMTGTACCATAAGATCTTAAAAACTGCAGGAGATGGGTTGCCAAAAAAAGGATTTGACATCAAAAGATTTCCTGTACTATTCTCAAAAGTGCCCCTGGAATCATCCTGCAGCACACGCTRTAGCGTGCTTCAGTCAAATACCTATTAACATGGTTATTTTTCAAAAAATCAGCAYATATCCAAGAAGTAAACATGTTTATCACATCAATTTAGCTCCAATATAAAAAAGATAGAAAAATAWAACAAAAAGACTCAATTTGCGGAATTTTKAGAAAATAAAATGGGTAAATAAAGTAARAAAAAGTGTAAAAGTATCAAATAAGTTGATAYTTATCAGAGAGCTTGACACAATTTGCATTGTGCCWTTCTTTTTTYGRTCGTGAGAACCACCAAGTTTTAGTGATTCCAAATCTCGGACTTTCGTCCGTGTTCGACGAGAACTTGGGCAACTTGTTCGTTTGATGGTTATTCACCAGCCATTTTSTAAGACAAAGAGAGATAAAACCGAGAATTGTGAAGTGAAAACGAGAAATTAATACGTAGCGAATTCACAAAATATAGCGAGAAACCAAGAATTRAGAGCGATTTTTGCGATTTTGAAGATGAGATGAGTTGGTATGTTTACTTGGGACTCCCATGCATATTTATAGTCAATTGAAGAAGAGAAGAGAWGAAAAAACGGTCATTTTTYGACCCCAACGRCTATATTMACCATTCTAACGGCTAGTTTGACCTTAGTAACGWCTAGTTTGACTTTGTTGACTAGGYCGGTCCCATAAYCGGTCCCGGTTCTGGTTGGTCTCGGTCCCAAAAAATGGGCAATTTTCTTAACCGGATCATAACCGGCGGTCCCTCAACCGGTCCACGCCGGTCYCGGTCGGTCTCGGTCCCAAAAAACGACAATTTTCTTAACCGGATCATAACCGGCGGTCCTTTAACCAGTCCACGCTGGTCCTGGTCGGTCCCGGTCCCTTGCCGATCCYGGTTCTGRTCCTCCGGCRGTTACGGGCTAGGCCGATTTGGCCATCACTAGGCCCGTCTAAAAAGAGGCCCATTTTGAAGCCTGCGTAGGATGCAACCTATCTCATAAACGGTAACTAGTACCAGTCTAGTCCATTTGTTGTCTTTTCATCTTCAACCTTAGGCATCACTCGAGACCTTCACAGTACTCTCATTCGTACGAACACCGTAAGCCACAGCTCATCTYGGCCACACTTTCAAGGTGATAAGACTTCATCAATTTGGCGCATTGTATACTACTCGCAAGGTAGAATCTCTGATCATTCAAACCCATTATTCGATACARTCAGAGCATTCATCTAATCAAGGTTTGAATTTTCGAAACCAAAACATGGAGAAGAAGCATTAGCATCCTTAAAACACATTGAATCACTGTTCATGCATCATTTGCATTCTTTCTAAGYCACTGTTCACCAAAATTCCCCAAACCCCCTGTTAGTCATCTCCATTCCTCTGTTTCACCTAATGGCCATCATCAAGTCAAGGCCACGAAGGAKGGATGGACCTTCTGAAATTWTGCTTCCTGCGTACARYGAGGGTTCTAGAAATCAATCCAGTGACAGTGAAGAAGAACCCATTGATGCTATACCCATTAGGAAGGTTCCTTTTGGTGAACCTCGACCTCAATCTCCACCACAACCTCAACCACAGCCACAACCACAACCTCAACCACAGCCACAACCACAACCTTAGCCGCGGTATTATGTTACT